AATTCTGCAGAATCTATTATGGATGAGTTACAGGTTAAAACATACTCATTATCAAATGAATTACGGTTAAAACATACTCATTTTCAAATTCAAATTAATGAATTTATGAAAATGTGTACATTTAACTACAATTTTACTTTATCTATATTTAAAATTGCAGAAAGAATATTTTGATTGGCGTTACCATAACGTTCTCACTCCAGTTCGAGATCAAAAAGAATGTAGTAAGTGTTAGTGTCATACCCGAAGAAAGGGAAATAGAAATAGAAAAGAAAAAAAAAAGAAGGAAAAGTCGAATATTTGCCCCTCTAACCACCTAAGGGGTCCAACCAAAACCCCATCCATAACCCTGCAAAAGAGGGATAGTGAGAGAAAGGGGTAGAGAGGGGTCCAACCAAAACCCCATCCATAACCCTGCAAAAGAGGGATAGTGAGAGAAAGGGGTAGAGAGAACCTAGAGAGAGGAGAAATGATGAACCGCCGGAAGACTCACCGAAAACTACCGTCGGAGTCTATTCCGGTGAGGATCATGATGCAAGGAGGTGAAGATCATGCATAGAGACTTTCTTGGAAGGGAAAAGAGAATGTGGGTGGCCGGAGTCCCATTTTTCATCAAGAAGTCGGAAAACCCGCAAGGTAAGGATCTTGAACGTTTTCTCAGATCTACGGTTTTTTTTCCTTGTGAATCAAGATCTGAAATCTTGATATATTCATCTAGGAACAACTCTATGCATGATCTATGAAGAAGTTTGGCCGAAACCTCAACCCGAAGGCGGAGATTCGAGAGTCGTCCGAGAACGGTGAGCGAAATTCCAATCTTCTTAACTCGTCCAGTAGTTAATAAAAAAAAAATTACGAAAAAAAATACAAGGACGAAGCCAGTAACACGATCTAAAACTTTGTCGAAGGAATCATGTCGATCCGATCTACGGATCGAAAGATATGAAAATTGGAAAAGAAGGTTGTGTTTCGGTTTTCAGAGGGCAGAGAAGAAAGGAGAAGAAGAAGGAAAAAAAGAAGAAGAAAGGAGTCGGCCGGCGAGCGGCGGACGGCGGCGACAGGCGCCGGACACGCGTCGATCATCGGCTGGAGCAACGCAGCTCCAGCGATGCGTCAACACGTGTCGCCCGCAAGCCGGGCCGAACCGCGACGCGAGCCGAGCCGACCGGACCGGCCGACCCGCGACTGTGCAGAATTGGGCGCGCGTGGCAGGCGCGGGTGCAGCCTGCGGCTGGCGCCTTCCCGCGCGCGTGGCCACGCACTTCCAGCGTGCTGCTGGGCGCGTGAGCGCGCGTGGAGCGGCCAATTTGGCCCGGTTGTTTTTTGTTTTCTCGATTTTTGTCCCGGCTCCAGTTCTAATACTGTTTTTACGTGGATAGGGACTTAATTTAGAGAAATCAGTAGTTTTGGACACCTCACGGGCAAAGAAACGCTAGCGAAAGGGCACGCGTCAACCAGGTAAGTCACCACCCGGTATTTAGGAAGAAATACTTGTAGGATTCGCTCAGATTGCATGCATGCTAGTAGTTCTGCTTCAGATTAGCTCAACATGTAAGTTACTAGTCAGTTTATCTGTTGTGTTTGAATTGTGTAAATTACATGAGTGTTGCTTGTATGCCTTAGGCTTCCGCCGTATGTATGCATGCGTTATTTTATGTGTAGAATTGAGTATGCCGGGTTTCGGGTGTTTGATGGACGAATTCGCCCCATTGAGCGCGAACTTCGTGCTCTGGGTGCTTGATGGAGGTCATCGCCCCACTGAGCCGGTATGCCTAGTTTGCATGAATTACATACTATGATGTAGAAGAAGATTACATGCATCCTCTGTTAATTGCTAGGGCCCATTTCTTTGATAAGATTAGGGAATCTTGGGATAGGAGCGAAATGCCGCTCTAGCCTGACTTAATTTTTCCCTAGAAACTTAGCGGTTTACCACGGTAAGAAGGTACCCCGGAGCGTTCATAGATTGCTAGCGTGTGAACGGTATCTATAGCTTCGTGGGAGGACCAAGGGGTCCCTGATCAGTCCTTACTGCTCTTAGCCATTTCGCATGGGAAATGTGTCCCCACGTCGTACGTACAGCCCATTAGCTGCATGGGAACGGGTTGGGTCGCGCCCCCCATAGAGGGACTAGATGGGCGTAGGGGTACTCAGCACACCCCTAGGCCAGGTACCATGTAGTCCCAGATAACCATGTAGAGGTAGCACCTCATAGAGAGATACCGACCATATTAGCTTGGCATAAAGAACCTCTGGGCGTTAAATGAGAGAACGAAAAATCAGTGAAACCCAAGGGGCAAGCCCCAAGGGATCTAGATTAGAGCCAGTCGTCCTAGAACCGAAATAGGAAACCGTGGCAACCTGTTAAATTAAGATCCGAAAAGAGCCTACAAGTAGGTGGCTTACTGAGTATAATTTTTATACTCATCCCGTTCTCCTTTATTTTTCCCAGGTGTTCACTGGCTGCTGGTCGAGGTAGAGGAGCGTTTGAGAGCTATACAGTCACAGAGGGGGTCGTTCCGGAGCGTCAGTCCCTTTTCGGTCTTTTAGAGTCTTTTGTATTTCATTTTATATTTGCAATTTCTTTTGTAATAATTAACAAACAAAATTTCTCTCTTTTGTTTTAATTCAAAGTATTTTTATCTTTCTACTTCGCTTTTCTTTTCTTTTATTTTCCTTTTGTTTGTTTTCGATTTTGTCTTTTTAGTCACGATTCGTTTTTTTTTAAGCCTCGAAAATCGGGTCGTGACAGTTAGTTATTTTTTTTATTGCGTGTATATATATATATATATATATATATATATATATATATATATATATATTATATTAAGATTTATTTTACATCTTATTCTTTTATTTTTCATTTTAATAATTATTTTTTTCTTTTCTTAGACTGTTGTTGGGCCATAGTAGCTGCTGGAGCTATTGAATGTCTTTACAATATTGTTTACAAGGGTGAATACAACAATATCATGCAAGCTTCACCCCAACATCTTATAGATTGTGTTAATCCTAATCCAAAAAATATAGGTCCAGAAGAATGTTATACTCATCAGTAAGAAAAGCTTTTGAGTGGATTGCTAAAGAGAAGGATTACAAATTTAATGCTAAGAGAGGAAATTGCAAAAAAATCACCACGGTAACATTTCTCTTAAAACTCATTAATTTAATATTTTTTCTTTTAATATATATATATATATATATATATATATATATATTCATATAATATAACCTTTGATTTTATTAATTGCAGCAATTGATCAAGATTAAAGCATATGAAAAAGTAGATATTGAAAACCTAACTTCAAAAACAGGGGAACAACCCATAGCTGGTGGTATAAGAATTACGAACCAGTTAAAGTGTCTAAAAAATGTAAGTAAATTATTTTTTTAATAAATAAAATATTTGTTCCATAGCTGGTGGTATAAGAATTACGAACCAGTTAAAGTGTCTAAAAAAATGTAAGTAAATTATTTTTTTAATAAATACAATATTATAGTAACATTATTATTTTAATTGATTTAAGTATTTTTTTTTTTTGTAGGAAATATATGATGGTAGTGAACTGTTAAACATAGACCTCAGCAAAATTCATTGGCATGCTATTCTGATCGTTGGTTATGGAAAGGATAACCACAGATTTGTGGGGGGGAGAAGCATGGGGAGATAGAGGTTATGGAAAAGTGAGTCAAGATGTCATTAATACTCCAGAAGGTACTGTGTATTTGATAGATAGATTATGGTATCCAATAATAAAAAGAAGAAAGTCTTTGGTTTAATTAGGAGAGAGAGTTTGAAAAAAAATGTTACAAACAACAATGTAATAGGGAGGTTTTTTTTACCAATATTAATATCTTATGTGAAATTGATTACATTCGGTTTCTTTTTTCTGATAGGCAAAATATTGTTTTTATATATATATATATATATATATATATATATATATATATATATTTATTTATTTATTTATTTATTTATGTATTTATTATTATTATTTTCTTTGATTAAAAATATATAAAATTAGACATAAATTTCAACTACAAATAGTTATAAAATTTTTTTGAGCAACTGTTAGCATTATTTCATCCCAATCATTTCAGTCATAATTTCTACAAATTATGCATAAAAAATGGTTGAACCTTCCTATAAAACTTCTATTAGTTATAAAAAACACAATTAAATTGTCTCTATGAAATTAAATGAATTAAATGGACAGGAAGAGACGTAAAATTAACCATATTTCAACAAAAGTCATATCGATGAAATTAAACGGACACAAATAGACGTAAAATTAACCGTATTTAAACAAAAGAGACGTAATTAACCATATTTAAACAAAAGTCATGACCATGATCCAACCATCACACGTGCTGCCCATCAAATCAAATTATTTTAAATTATTATTTGCCTCCTCCCTAAAAAAACATATGAGTGATAACAAAACTCAAACATGTGGGGATAATAGTTATCGCAACAAATACTTAAGGTGATCATTTGGTAAAAGAGGTAAGAGAATAAGGAGGCAATATGTCAATTTCAAATTCTAATTCAATCATGTGTATGAACATTACACAACAAATTATTTTTAATATATTTATTCTGATTTATGAATACTTTTTACAGAAAATATAGTAACACTAATAACTCCATTAAGCAACCTATGTAATTTCCATGTCTCACTGTATATTTAAATGTCGTTTTCCATGTCTCACTGTATATTTAAATGTCGTTTCATCCATAAATTAGAGGGCTTTGGCCTGCAAAGTTCGACGTATATAATATCTTTCATAGGAATAGCGTAATAAACTTTAGCTTGGAAGGTTATCCAGGGAAATTCTACCGAAGTTCCAATCGGCTTTACATTAAATGTGATGTAATACATTGAGCCACAACACCCCGAATGATTAGCCTTCACAATGTCTACAACTTCAAAATTAGTTCCCTATCCATAGGAGATAAAAGAAACATTTATAGAAGATGAATGAACATATTCAAGGTATACCATTCCTTTTCTCTGTTTTTTCTTTCTCTTTGTTTTTGCATGAGCTCTGTTTTTCTTTCCTTTTTATTTTTTATTTTCTTTTCTTGTTATTATAGTTCAGCCTAAAAATCAAATTCTAAAAATAAAAATGGAAATCAAATGGAAATATTATTTATTCAGACTAAAGTTGGATCCAAAATCATATTTGTAAATATTTTAGTCCATACCACTAATTTAGGTAATAACAACCACTTCACTTACATGAAGGTAGAACAAAATAAGATAGATTTTTCTTTTCTAATACGAGACATGAACTTTCGTTAAACTCTATTATTGTGGAGATTCGTTGTTAATATATTATTTTTTAAATAATTGTAGTCTAACCATTTTTTTTTATTCAGCAGAATCTATTATGGATGAGTTACAGGTTAAAACATACTCATTATCAAATGAATTACGGTTAAAACATACTCATTATCAAATTCAAATTAATGAATTTATGAAAATGTGTACATTTAACTACAATTTTACTTTATCTATATTTAAAATTGCAAGAAGAATATTTTGATTGGCGTTACAATAACGTTCTCACTCCAGTTCGAGATAAAAAAAATGTAGTAAGTATTAGTTATTCTTTTATTACATATATATTTTCATATTTATATTAAGATTTATTTTGTATTTTATTTTTTTATTACCCATCTATTTTTATATTTATATTATGATTTATTTTACATCTTAATAATTAATTTTTTTTCTTTTTTTTTTCTTTTTAGACTGTTGTTGGGCTATAGTAGCTGCCGGGGCTATTGAATCACTTTACAATATTGTTTATAAGGGTGAATACAAAAATATCCTCAAGTTTCACCCCAACATCTTATAGATTGTCTTAATCTTAATCCAAAAAATATAGCTCCAGAAGAATGCTATAACTCATCACCAATAAAAACTTTTGAGTGGATCATATCTAACCAAGGAATTGCTAAGGAAAAAGATTACAAATTTAATGCTAAGAGAGGAAATTGCAAAAAAAGTCACCACGGTAAGATTTCTTTTAAAACTCATTAATTTAATATTTTTTCTTTTAACATATACCTAATTTATTTTTTCATATAGTATAACTGATGTATTTTATTAATTGTAGCAATTGATCCAGATTAAAGCATATGAGAAGGTAAATACTGAAAACCTATCTTCAAAAATAGAGGATCAACCCATAACTGGTGGTATAAGAATTACTGATGGATTAAAATGTCTGAGAAATGTAAGTAAAGTAATTTTTTTTTTAATAAATAAAATATTATAGTTAAACATTATTATTTAAGTAATTTTTTTTTTCTTTTGTAGGAAATATATTATGGTACTGAACTATTAAATACAGACATCAGCGCTTTTTCTTGGCATGCTATTCTGATCGTTGGTTATGGAAAGGATAACCACCTAAAAAAATATTGTATCATTAAAAATTCATGGGGAGAAGCATGGGTATGGAAAGGTAAATCAAGATGTCATTAATACTCCAAGGTACTGTGTATTTGATAGATAGATTATGGTATCCAATAATAAAAAGAAGAAAGTCTTTGGTTTAATTAGGAGAGAGAGTTTGAAAAAAATGTTACAAACAACCATGTAATAGAGAGGTTTTTTTTACCAATATTAATATCTTCTGTAGAATTGATTACATTCGGTTTCTTTTTTTGATAGGCAAAATATTATTTATATATATATAGGTTAAAAATATATAAAATTAGACATAAATTTCAACTACAAATAGTTATAAAATTTTTTTGAGCAACTGTCAGCATTATTTCCTCCCAATCATTTCAGTCATAATTTTTACAAATTATGCATAAAAAATGGTTGAACCTTCCTATAAAACTTCTTTCAGTTATAAAAACCACAATTAAATTGGCTCTATGAAATTAAATGGACTAGAAGAGACGTAAAATTAACCATATTTCAACAAAAGTCATCTGGTAAAATTAATCATATTTCAACAAAAGTCATCTGAGACGTAAAATTAACCATATTTCAACAAAAGTCATATCGATAAAATTAAACGGACACAAATACAAATAGACGTAAAATTAACCATATTTAAACAAAAGTCATACCCATGATCCAACCATCACTCACTGCTGCCCATCAAATCAAATTATTTTAAATTATTATTTTCAAATTATTTTAAATTATTATTTGCCTCCTGCCTAAAAAAACATATGAGTGATAACAAAACTCAAACATGTGGGGAAATGTGGGGATAATGCCTCCTCCCTAAAAAAAACATATGAGTTATAACAAACTCAAACATGTGGGGATAATAGTTATCGCAACAAATAGGTAAGGTGATCATTTGGTAAAAGACGTAAGAGAATAACAAGGCGTCAATTTCAAATTCTAATTCAATCATGGGTATGAGCATTACCCAACAAATTATTTTTAATATATTTATTCTGATTTATGAATATTTTTTACCGGATCCATAAATTAATCTATTGACAAAATAGCTTAAATGACTAAAGTTATTTTAAAGTTAGAATAATTAAAGAGCATTTATTGTATTCTCTTCAAGAAAATTCAGGTCCTTCTACACTGATCAACGCACAATTTGATATAAATGTACCAAGAAACAGC